CCGGGTGAGCTTCTGGGGCCGCCACCGCAATTAGAGCTCAAGGGCCCCACTCAAGCGCTTGGCCATGGGCCGCCCTAGCCCTCTAATTGCCCGCATTTAGCTTGAAGGCCAGGAGGGTCGCTCACCTCTCCCTCCCTGGCCGGCGGGGGCTCACGACTCATTTCTTCCCCGGAGCTCGGCGCGCTCAGTGGTTCCTGGTCTGGTCTCTTGCAGTTCCCTGGGCTCATGGCTGAGGAGTGCGGGCGAGCAGCGGGAAGAGGAAAAGCGTGGGAACGCCGGGGCTGGTGAGTGAGGGCGAGAGCGTGCCTGCGGCCGGCTGGAAGGGCATGAGGGGGCTTCTGAGGAGAGGCAGTCGAAGCCCGTGGTTCCCCAGCCCCGCCAGGGAGGATGCTCTTGGGGAGCCCGAAGGTCCAGGGTGGCTCTTTTCCCTCTGCGCCCCTTGGCGAGGCTCCGACTGAGTGGGACGAGGCACCAGGGTGGGGGGTGCCGAGAAGGACTGGCCTGTGCGCGGGGGGCGAGAGGGCCGAGAGGGACTGGCCTGTGCGCAAGGTGGCTGAGAGAGTGGCTCCTCCTCCCGCCCGTCTTCGATGCCCTGCTTGGCGTGCCAGGCCCGGGGCGAGGGGGACGGTGGGGCTCAGTCATGTGACCGCCCCGCCACCTGGGCTGGTCACTCCTGGAGCAGGGCTCTGGAGAGCTCCGGCAGGATGAGACCCCTGCTGTTACTACACTGATCCAGACCCTGTTACTGCTCTGTTACTAGGTAAACATTGCTGTAGAATGGTAATCTATTCAGCTTCGTCCTGTCAAACATTAAGGAAAGGATTTTCTCCTCTGTCTGGTACTAGGGAAACACCAGATCGCCCTGTTATTCCACAGTGGGAATCCCATCAATCCATTGTGAAACTAGCTACCACACTTTAACGTACCTTCACTTTAACTATACCCAGTCTTGCACATGCCCAGTGTGACTTTAGCTGGGCGCACACAAAGCTAACACCCCTGAGCATAACTCAGGTCCTCTGTGGTCTCACTGGTCGGTCCACACATCTCCTCTCATCTTACCTTGGATTCCTTCATCTCTTCAGGGCTGGTATAGTATTAACCGGGCATTCCCTAACCCCCTCTTTTTGTCTGCTAACCACTTTCTAGATCTTCTTGTATGCTTGCAGCCTCTGATCTGAATGCAAATATCGGGGGGGGGGAGTATGTAGGTCTCACTTCATTTTTTACACTATAATCTTCTCCATTAGTATTCCCACAACAAATGTTACATTTCGGACTTCACATAATCAGTATTATAACTGGCCAAGAAGTTCCTGCATTATTGTATGCAAATGATCCAGATCCGAAGTAGCCTTCGGAAAACAATTAACACTTTCTCTGAGTATTGCAGACAAGAGGGCCTCATAGTAAATTATTTAATAAAGCTGTCTTGGGGTAACACTCTGCAAAATGCTGCTCCTGTGGGTAGAAGATCCTGAGAAATGACTTAAGGGGGGCCTGCAGTGGGTAACGGGAATCAACAGTATTTTAGTCACTGATGTATCCTGTAAGATGTGAATTTTTGTCTTAAGTGTTTTAACCTGTTTTATTTTTATTGCACTTTTGTGCCTTAATTGTTTTAATCTTGTTATATTTTATTGCACTGTTGTGCCCATGTAAGCCGCCCTGAGCCCGCATGCGGGGACGGCGGGGTATAAATGAAATAAATAAACAAACAAACAAACAGAAATTAACAATTTAATCTGGATCCAACCCATGCTGTTTCATTTTCTAAATCTTCAAAAGAGCTTTATTCATTGTAATTCTATCTGCCCACTGAGGCCCCTCAAATTGGGGAAAATGCCAACAATGTACTCCAACCCCAAATGTTCTGTATATTAGTTAAACTGTAAAATTGGACTATCACAGCAGAACTGGGGGGAAACAAGCTACACGGATTATAATATATAACAAATGACAACATGGTGAGCAGCTGGAAACTTTTTTTGCTATTTGTCCATAAATATGTCTTTATTCTTTGCAATGCTGAATTTTATTCCCTTTGTATTATCCCAGTTCATGCAATTATATTGTTTGTCTTGTGTGTTTATTCTGGTTCACTGAAAATATTCCATGATGCTGCTGTCCTGTATTCACTGAGCTAGAAATCTGTCCCCTCCTTAAAGTAAAAAAAGAAGACATGATTTCTGAAAGGTTAAGTAAAATGTGCTTTACTGCCAGATGCCTCTCACTTCTCAAAAACTAAGGGCATGGCGTTCCAGTTCCCAAAATCTGTTCAAAGCTCATTAGATCTGCCTCCTGGCTCACCTTCCGGCTCTCTACCATCTGTAAAAAAATATATTAAAAAGAGGGGGGACAGTTAATTAGCTTATATAATTATCTGAGTATAGAAAGTGCAATACGAATTATTACAATAATCACAACAAAGTTGAAGCAGTGAGAATGAAATGAATGTAAGCATCTGAAACTGCCTAGACAAACACACACACAAATTCTCTCTCCCTCTCCCTCCCTCTCTCTCTCTCTCTCTCTCTCCTGTGTGTGTTTGGTGCAGAACATTTTAATTTTGCAATGCTTTTGTGCTAGACAGATGTGTGAACCTGAAAGCACCTGAGTGTGGGAGATTAAATTAAGCTCTGATTACTTAGAACTTATAATTAGACAAATGAACATTGTGATGTAATTGGAACAGACAGTGTGTTTCATTCGTTTTACTGTGATAAGTTTTATTGGAACAAATAACACCAAAATGTAATTTTAGACAGGTATATTGAGATTTGATGGAATTTGCTGTTTGTTTTGGAAATTATTCTGGGTCTTTTAGGGAACCTGGGAACAAGTATAATACCATAACCATACACAGCATCTTCAAGTTGGATGAAAGGACTTCTTTCCACTAAGCAAAATGCATTTCTTCATCACAAGAAGACTCCTTACTTTGTGGGAGGGAATCTGTCAATCACGTTCATTGTTGATTAGGTGGGCCTCAGGTGGAGGTGAACCAGAGTTCAGTTCCACAACTTGCCCACAGAAGCGCTGGGTGCCTTTCAAACAGCCTTCAAATAGTGAGGAATCCAAACCCCATCTAGTCCTGTTCCTGCCCCATCTGTTAGTCCATTACTGTTACCACTTGGTCAGATATGAATTTCAAGCTATTACATTCCAGACAAGCAAACAAGTGAAGCAATATGGTAGGAAGTGGCCAAGCATTGTTTCTCTGAGTGTGGGACAAACTTACAAAGGCTATACATACAATCTCATAAGTCATGAAAGAAAAATGTCAATTTTATTTTTGAAATACCACGACTATACCAGATCATGTTAATGTTTCTTCAGCCCAGGCTGAGCTCCCTGGATACCAATTCCCCCCCACATACACACAAATATATTATGGGCCATGATGCTATAGGGGAAGGCAAGTCACCATCTTTGGATGCCAGTTCTCTGAATTTCCTGTGGAAAATGGTGACTTATTTCAGAACCCAACTATGAAGATTAATGGAGCATGATGCCATTTTAATACTATTTTTATTGAATTCAATTTACCGTTATATTGTTACTGCTTTCATATTATTGATTTATAACTTTCTTTTAGGTCTGTGTCATTGGAAGTTGTGTAAAAAGTGTAATAAACTAATAACTCATAGATTTTAAAGCATTTTGTGTGATGGTGTTCTATAACAACACACGGCGCTTTTGTGTATATCATATAGTTTTTACTATGTACAACACACTGTGAAGATACTGCATTGTTATGAGAATACCACCCAAATAACTGTATTGTGCAACTGGCCTGTTTTGGGGGTGGGTGGGGAATCATAGTCTAAATTCATTTTCATAGTCTAAATTTGTTCTATGACAAAAGAATATGGAGGCATACATCTGAGAATGTGTAACTCAACTTTTCCCTCTTCTTTCTTTTCCAGGTAGCGATAGATTTTACAGCTTCCAATGGTGATCCCCGGAACAGCTGTTCTCTTCACTATATCCACCCTTATCAGCCGAATGAATACTTGAAGGCACTGGTAGCTGTTGGGGAGATCTGCCAAGACTATGACAGGTGAAAGATAGCAACCTTTGTTCTAGCTTTCTAAGGAGCATTCAGATACTATGATAAACCTGGTGATTCCTGTTGACTTTTCTTCAATTCTGCATCTATTTCTTTTAGCAGTTTCTAAGAGTTCTTTGCAATAAAGCTGTGGATATGGCTTCAGGCAAGACTTAAATAAGCCTAAACTGGATCTGTTGAGATCTAGGGTGCGGTCAGATGAGCTGTTCCATTGTTGTTGCTTCTCCCCAACTGATTTGAATTGCCCGATCAGTTCTACAGTCATCAGCCCCCGTGCTCACCCCCGATTTTCCCAATACCAGAGAAAGTCCAGTATTTACTGAACCTACTGGGTTCACCACATGTCTGATTGCTCTCTCACACAGCCAAGCCATTTGGGAAATCACAAACTTCTGTTTTGGCTGCCATTTTTTTACAAGTTAGCAATGTGTGCATAAGCGGTTACTCACCCAAATGTCATTAATTACTGCTCGTGCAGAATTTGCAAGAGGAGCAGCGGCATCAAAGACAACAGCAGCAAACCAGGAAAGTTTTCTTGGTCTTTGATAGAGGTGAGGGAGTGCTATGAGAAGCAGGCAAAGTGTGCCTCCTTGCTTTGCAATTTGTCGGAGCAGAGAAGAGCCCCCTTTCCACCTGGGA